AATTAATTTTTATTATATATTTGGATGATGATCATGTAAAATTAATTTTTATCAATTTTACATAATTTTATTTTTGGTGAGTAGAAATAATTTTTAAAATATTTTAAAATTTTTGTCAAATTAGTTTATATTTTATCAAATTGACGATTTTGTCCTTGAAATTAAGCAATGGTATGTTCAATTGTCCTTATTTGGAACAAGATTCAAAATTCATGATCAAATGTGTCACAATTGAAAAGTCAATGACTAAAATAATACAAGAATAATGTTTGAGGGCCCGAAATTAGGGGCTCGAATTTGGCTCAAAACCCAAAACGACATCGTTTTCGGTTTTGATTTTTTTTTTCTTCCTTTTCTTTTCTTCATTTTCTTCCTTTTCTTTCTTCTTCTTCGTTGAGTTGAACAGAGGCGAGAGAACACAGAGGCGAAAGCGAGAACGCAGGTCGTCGGCGTCGCAGCTCGTCGGCCGATCTCGCAACTCGTCCCTCGTCGCTCGTCAGCATCGCAGCCCCGCTTCCACCTCTGCCTCCGCCCGCCGCCACCTCCACCTCCGCCTCCGCCACTACCTCCACCTTCACCTCCGCCCGATTTTGTTGGCCCCTCCAGTCGAGTTCTTCTTCTCCTTCTTCTCCTGCTCCTCCTCCTTCTTCTTCCCCGTAATTTCGAGTCAAATTCAAGCCCCTATATTCGGGCTCTGTAGCATTACTGAATAATACAAATCTCAAACTATAGAGACTATTAGTATAATTTGCCCTTCATTTAATTATGAACCCACAAAATTCTAAAAAATTAACTGATCAAAATGAGACCCAAATGAACTGAAGCTATTTTCAATTGTTTTCTAGCTATAGTAATGCTAGGAATTCTAAAAAAATATAAAACAATAAAAATTTTACACAATATTCATATAAATATAAAACTCACACTGTTTTAGGAAGTTGGTGAAAAGTTTAGCTTTTGACTTTTTACCATGTTTTTTAACTTTTTGGAAAGTGATTTAGGAAATTGATAAAAAGTTCACTTTTTGTTTTTTAGTTTAATATTTATTTATGGTGTCAAATCAAATTAAAATGACCAAAATATCATTACCCAACATAAAAAATTTATTTTTTTATTTTTTTGTCATAAGTCCTAATTTGTAATTTTACACTTACGTTTTTGGTCCTTCCCAAACCAATTTTATTGCGTTTTTGGCCACTTACATTTTTGGAAAATGATCAAAAACGTGACTTTTTATGAAAGTTTCCAAAACGGCACTATGAGACTTAAATGTTATAGAAAATATTTAATATATGTTTTTGAGACCTCTAACATATTTATTTGGGTCATGTCAAACCCCTCACTTCTCCCAAAATAATACTCGATTCCACTTTTCAAAAAATATTTATCAGAAAACTCTATTTTCTTATTTTTTGTATTTTTTTTATTTTTATTGAATTTTTTTAATATTTTAAGCAATTTTTTTACTTTTTAGACACACCTAACATAAATACATCTAAAAAGAAAAAAAAATTGTAAAAAAAATCTTTTAAAAATTCACTAAATAAAAAAATAAAAAAATAAATAAGAATTCAGTATATTTTGTGTATTTTTATGTATTTATTAATTTTTTAAAATATTTTTTTACAATTTTTTTTCTTTTTAGATACATCTAAGTAAGGTGCATCTAAAAAAATATAAAAGATGTTTAAAATTTAAAAAATATTCCATAAAAACAAAAAAAAATACGAAAATCAAAAAGATTAATTTTTAAAAAACTTAATCCAAAAAATTCAAATCAAACACACAGTGTTACATTCACATAATTCATTCCTTTCATAATCTCCGTAATGAGATAACAAAGCAAAACGTATAGAGAGTTTAAAAAAAATATTTAAATGTTGTTCGATTTTTTAAAATTTTCTTACCAAGTCATTTAGGGGAATTTAAGAGAAAAAATTGTGGATGAATATTTTTTAAACAAAATTAATAAAAAAAACAAAACAAAATAAAGAATATTTTTTTGGGTGATATTGTTTTGAAGTTTGAAATACAACCAAAACCAAGTATGCCTGTATACAATGCATTAGGGATGGGTGCAGGTTGGTTGCGGCTACGGAACCTTCAATCCGTCATTCGTCCGCTAGATTGGCAGATTGGAGAAAATCAATCCGCATCCGTCCGCCAATCTGGCGGATGTGGATTGAGCGGTTTGGCGGATGAATGCAAATCAGTTTGGCAGTTTAAAATTTTATAAATTTTCAACATAATTCAACTTATGCAATTCCTCAAAAAAAGAAGAATAAAGTTTTACCGTCAATGACTTAAAAAAATATTATAATCACTGCATCCTTCATCCAAAGTAAGAAAATTTGAAACTTTAGAATATCGCAATCACTGCATGTCTTCATCCTCATACTACAATCACAGCATGCCTCATCCACATAAAATATTACAATCTGTGATTTTTAAAATATAAAAAATAATTCAAACCATCAAAATCATGAACAGAACAATAGTAGAGATTGCATGTCTCTGTATTGTTACATCTATATCTGTTTTTGAAAACAAAAACCAACCAGTAAATATCATATTTTCTATTTATTATTTTTAGAGATAGATTTAAAAATCAAAAAATATAGATAAATAATACATTTATTTTTTCAATTCAAAAAGATATTCAAGTCGAATTTTTTTTTAACATAATATTTAAATTCTTTTTTAATTGAAAACACAAACAGAATATTTAAATAAATTGAAAACATAAATTTTTATAAGTTACTATGGTGCTCGCGGTTTGGCAGTTCGTTGCGATTAAAAGAATCTCAAATCCGTCATCCGTCTACCAGATTGGCAGATTGGAGAAAATCAATCGGCAACTGTCCGCTCGTCATCACGCATCCTTTCAAAATGCGATGAATGAGTTCAATTCAATCAATTTTAACAGATCAATATATCCGCTATTCACGCCCTACAATACATTATTTTAGTCACTACAGGTTTGCTTGCAGACTTGACTGCCATTTTCAGATCATCAAGCAAACACAGAAAGCAGAAAGCACTGTCTCTAATCCCTAGGGGGGCCACTACAATATAAGAATTGCATTAGGTAAAAAAAAAAAATGTTACCAAGAAAAAAAAATTAACTGCAAAAGTTGGAATAGTAACTAATTTTTTTTTTTTAATCTAGTCAAAGACGGCCCATTTACACCAAAATTCAAAAAAAAAAAAAAAATTTATGATCTGATTACAAAAGTTGAATTTTGAATGATTATTTGAAGATTTGAGAAGATAGTTATAGATAATTTTTTTTTGAAAAAAAAAAATTATAATTTAAAAAATAAATTATAAACTACTTTTCAAAATAAACCTCACTACAATACAATCTTAAGATTAGCAGGGCATAATATTAATATATCCGTACACAAAGAAACAGAGGTCACAGAGAAAAAACAGAGGAAATCAAAATAGATCAGATCATACATTTGACAACACGCTATCTATATCAAAAAAAAATTTCACTATCAGAGGACGCTTTGGCCCGTGACTAGTTTCAAAAACTATCATCCCAAAGTTTTCCCAGAAAACCCACTTTCAGAGAGCAGTCAATTTCCCGCACTTTTCGCTTTCATAGTTTTCCCATACCCCGAAAAAGTAGTTGCCCAAAATCAGAGTAACCAAACAAAAGATAAATATGAAATGAACCTCCCCACAATTCTTCTCTTTCACACCCAGACACAACACGCAAACTTCTCTCTCTCTCTCTCGGATAAAGCAAACATGCATACACTCTGGCATCGACGTCGTTTGGAAAGTAAAAATTCGGAGTTTTTTTAAAATTATTTTAATTATAAAAAATAAAATAATTTTTTTTAATTTAATAAGATAAAATATCATATCTAATTCATAATCATTACATTCATATTCTGACAAAAAAAAAATTTAAAAATCAAAAAAAAATCTTCACAAACAAGACTTTTTAATCCCAAATTAAAAAATTAAAAAAACCAAAAAATAAAAAAATTAACCCAAGTCCCAAACCAACCGTGCAAAGTGTATTAGCCTCCGTTTAAAAAATGGGTTTACTTTTTGATTTTTTTGACTATTTTAACGTGGATTAAAAAACTTTGTTTAAGAAAGACTTTTTGACTTTTTGATTTTTTTAACTTTCTTTTTATAAGAGAAGAGTATAATGATTATAAATTAGATGTGATATTTTATTTGTTAGAGTTAAAATAATCTATTTTGTCTGTTGTGACTAAAATAACCTTAAACCTCCTTGCCAAACGAAGCCTTCAGCTGGTATTTGATAATTACTTTTTTTTATGTTAGCCTCCGTTTGGAAAGTGAGTTGACTTTTTGACTTTTTTAATCTGGACTTAAAAGCTTGATTTGGAAAAAACTTTTTAACTTTTTAAATTTTTTGAATTTTTTTGTGAAAGAAAAATATAATGATTATGAATTGGATGTGATATTTTATTTATTATGACTAAAATAACTTATTTTATTTTTTATAACTAAAATAACCAAAAAAACCTACAAACTCACTTGTCAAACACGGGCTTCCTTTTCTTCTTTTTATAGTGATTTGAAATAAAAATAAATAAATAAAAGAAAGTCACTTTTAGATCTTACTTCTAGACTACAAGGCTCTTTAAAAACGTAAAAATAAATGAAATAAATCCCCTAAAAACTAAAAAATAATGAATTTTTTTTCTTATTTTACTTCTTTTTTTAAATATTTATTAAATTTTACACAAAACACCACACCACTAACATCTTACCGCGTTTAAATAAAAATTAGCCCAACTCACTTTTATGATTCGAATGTAATTGAATAAAATTAGCCCAGCTCCTATGATTCGGAATTGTTTTCATAGGGGCTCACCAATGTGTCTTGAGGTATAACTTCGTGGGGCTCACTAACAAAGAACAATTTTTGAAAAAAAATTCAAAAATAAAACACCAAAGACTACCAAACAAAAGCAAAAGTCTCGTGGTGGTACCACAAGACTAAAATGTATGAACAAAGTGCAAGCAAAGTTACACAGCTTTTCTTCTATATTAAGCAAACACCATTTTTATACATAATACTAGTACTATCATCGAGTAGATATAACAAGTCCACAAACATGAACTATAAATCCTCAACAAAAAGACCAACAAAGCAAAAGTCGAAAAAAAAAGGAACAAAACAAAGCAAAAACAGTCACTTCATTTAATTAAGCTAAGATGGCTGTGGATTTCCGGACTACATATCGGTAGGCAGCAACTTTTCTTTTCCGGGAGGCAGTGTTATCAACAGAAAACACCATTTTGCCTGCTTCTCGAGCTGTAAATGTGTTGTGAATCGCTTCTTCTGTGGCGGCAATCTTCCTAGACTTCTCAACAGCAATGGTATAGCTCCCTTCGGCAATTGGCACAAACTCGGCACTATAATCCAAATCCCATCCTCCCACCACAATGTCCCATGTTATTGTTGCACCGGCCTAATTAATCAACAACCCCAAATTAGACAAGAATGATATATTTCAACAATTAAACTAGTAAGAATTTACCAATTTCGTAATAAAGCATGGTATTTGCAAACACATTAAGCAACATCACATAATTAAACACGTATTAGATGCAACACATGATCAACAGGTATTTTTTGGGAAGTCACGATGTCCAAGTCTAACCAACAAAAAAGCTACCTACAAAGAATTTCTTATAAAATGGGCATAATTTGAATGCCCATTTAACCTTGGTGTTGTGGGTCATAGAATAAAATTTTGATTCACACATTTCAAAATCCCAACACTATCATTTTTGTACAATTTTCTAAACCCTACACCCTACAACTACACCTAATTTTAGTTCCCATTTGATGGGGGACCGAGAGGGCTCTATTGGATAAAAACCTAGCCTTCGACATTTTGTACCAAGTTACTGCACTAAGGTTCAAACCCGGCCTAGTTTTAAACACTAAAAGTTACTAATACCCAAATAAATCAAGGTATTAACTATTAAGTAGCACCATATAAATAACCATGAATGCATCATACAATCAACAATTATTTTCGACAACTTGACATTTATTCTGTTATATAAAGCACAAACTTTTAGACACTAGTGAGGTGCCGGCTCAAATTCGAGTTAACACCTCCTAAATTGGCCCTACGTAAACCATCTCTGTCCAATTTCTTTCTTCTTTTCCCTATGACGGATACAACCTTCTATTTCTCACAGGCAATCGACTTCTAGTAATTACAAAGTAAAGTCGGAGTGAATTCTACACAAAGATGCTCGAGTTAGATGACGATTAACGGAAAGTAAAGTAATTAGACTTTTAAAAGAGATATTCATAACAAAAAATAATTGCAAATGGACCTCAATGCCCTCAATTTGTATGTTCACTATGACGATTAACGGAAAGTAAAGTAATTAGACTTTTAAAAGAGATATTCATAACAAAAAATAATTGCAAATGGACCTCAATGCCCTCAATTTGTATGTTCACTTTCTCCCCCCCTTTTACAGTGAACTCGGAGGCTGGTTTTGGTGGACCGTTCTGCAGATCACTGGGTCGACTCAATCCACCATATTGAACTGGAACATCCTCTGGCCTAATAAACCTGATCGCAGAACAAAACCAAATTCAATTAACTAAACTAACTGACAATCCGAAGGAGAAAACAAAATAACAACGAAACAATTTTGTGTTCATATCAAATGGACCATTTAGAGAATATAAGAACATCTGCCCATTCTTACTCTGTTTTTCATGAAATTTGATGAAAAACAAAACAAAACAAAACAAAATCCCAAACACCGATATAAGAAAGGAAAGAAAAAACAGCATACACAAATTGCACAGACCCCCCAAAAATAAAAAGGGAAATGTGTTTTCAAAAATGAAAACAGAAAACAAAAACACAACCAAAGAGACATAAAGGGCAATAGTCAACAGACCAGATCTCTAAAGAGTTGTAACAAACAAACAACTCTGTAATGAAGCAATTGAAACATTCATAACTTGATAATATAAATAGAAGATAACAGGCAAACAATGAAACAACATACGAGCATTTATGATTTAACAGATCAAATTAAAAACCCAAATCAGGAACAGAGCTGTACTAACTTGTATAATGTCTCTGCAGCATTCCCTTCCTTAGAGATCACGAACTTGCTCTTAGTTCGTTGAGTCAGGAACGGACTGAACATTGAATACAACACACTGAAGTACCATGGTACATTGATGAATATCTGTACAAACCCAGAAAATAAAAGCATCAAAATCCAAAAACCCAGTTTCAAAAACACAGAAAATACTTTTCAAATTGTGATTTTTACCTTACAAGCGACCATTTAATGGTAATACTCACCCACACACAAAAACCCAGAAACAAAACCATCAAAATTCAAAAAACCAGTTTTGGAAACACACAAAACAATTTCAAAAATGTGATTTTTACCTTACGGGCGACCATTTGATGGTAATACATACCCACAAAAAATGAAAAAGAAAAAGAAAAAGAAAAAACAGAAAACAAAACCATCAAAATCCAAAAACCCAGTATGAAAAACGCAGAAAACACTTCTAAAAATGTGATTTTTACCTTACGAGCGACCATTTCAGGGTAATTATCTTGAAACAGAGAGAGAATGTGATTGGAAGCAACTCTGAGCTCTCTTTTAGGCATGTCTTTAAGATCAGTGACTTGAATAATCGAGTTAATCCCACCAGGTTTGAAATGCAGAAGCTTAATCCCTCTTTCAAGAACTTGAACCCTCCATCGAAGAAACTTCTGGAGCTTCTCATCGTCCCCAAATATCCTGTCATACATGTCCTTATCTTTGAAAACCCCATAAGCATTGTAACAAACTGGGTGTCCTTCTCTGTCAAAACCGTGCATATAAGCCACAACACCTTCAAGCTCTTTAAACCCCAAATCTTCGTCTAAAATGGTGTCAGCTTCGAAGTCTTTTCGCCATTGGAGGCACTTGAGAAGCATTTGGAGCGAGTCAGTGACTCGGAAGTCCCTGGCTCGGAGAAATTTGAGGAGAATCACATCTGATTTGTCGTCATTGGAGAGGAGAGAGATGGCCCACATGGAGTCTGGACCATGAGAAGCCATGAGCTTGTCTTTAAGCTCTTGGAGAGCTTTGCGTTCGGAGGATTTGAGGTGGGAAACAAAATAAGAGTCTTCACGGAAAGAGGGGGTTCGGAGTGTAGCGGCCTCCATTAGAGAAGTGACGAAGCTTTTCTTGTAGGGAAGTGGTTTTGGGGAGGATTCGGGATTTGGGTCTTGGTGGAGAGTCTGTTGGATTGAGATTGGTGATGAGGATTCCATCAACGGAGGTTTTGCGTGAGACCCAAATGCAATTTCTATAGAGAGAGATGATGATAAAGTAAGGAAAGAGATTTGGTTATTCAGAGAAGCTCCGGTTTCGATTCTCTGAGCGAAATTTACAGAGGTTGGTCGAAGAGAAGGGGCATGGAAAGAGAAAGCGACAAGAAGTGAGAGAGAGAGAGAGAGAGAGAGAGAGAGCATAAATTATTGTGCTTGAGGTGACATGATTAGTGTGAGACTGTTGTGTAGACGCAATACAAGGTGAGTTTTGAACTTTCAAAACCGGCTTTGAGGTGTTTGTTTTTTAACTTTTTAAAATTTTTTTTTTTCTACTCTTTTTTTTTATTAGAAATTCGTTAGTAATATAAGTAAAAAAAAAAATAATGTTGTAATCACATTTATGCTGAAATATATATTTTATCTTATTTATTTTTTGTATTTTAACATTATCTGCATTGGTTCCAGTAACTTTAGCTTTACTAAAAAGAATATCGGTATAATTATGCCAAAATTATGAACTTGTATTTTTTCTAAACTTTAAGAAGGGAGGTTAGTATAATTTACCCTTTAATTAAGGCTGTGTACATCAATCCTTTCTCAGACCCCCTTTTATTATATATTTTTCATTTATTATTTTAGAGTAAATCTGGGGAAGAAAATTTTAAATTTTGCTTTATATGTTAATTAACTTGATATACATTGTTGGGTTAATTTTCTAATAGGTTAAAATTTTGAAATAATTGATTACTTAACAATATACTTGATATTTTTAACTAAAATGATGCAAAAATAATCAAAGATCTCACGGCCGCGTTGATCTCACTGGTGTCAGCAAGAGAGGTTAGAATTATTGGAACAACATGATCTTCTGCTATGGGCCATACAAGAAAAGCCTGTTAGCATGACAACAAATTGAACAGAGATAAAAAATGACACCACAAAAAAATAAAAACAAAAACAAAAACAAATTAAGTTAATATTAAAATAATTCTTATACAAATTCTAATAACAATCAGTATGTTTGGTTTCAATTTTCTGAATTCAATTTTTTGAAAATTGAGTTTTTTATTTTTTATATATTTTTTTTAAAAAAATTAATTTTTAACTTTCTTCTCAAAATAAGTCATTGTTGGTTCATGTTATATAAAAGCCTTGGTTTGGGAATAATTTTTTTAATCTGGTTTTTTTATTTTTCATTATTTTAATTTAACTAAAAAAAATTGGATTTTTTTTAAGGTCCCTGGTATTAAGATTTTATATCATAAAAAATACCTAATATTTTCATAATATCTAAGGTCCCTCAACATCGATCTAGAGAAAATTCAATTCAGAGAATTTCTCTGGACTTTCTAGAGAAAATTCAATCTAGAGAAAATTCGATCCAGAAAATTTCTTTAGACTTTCCAGAAAAAATTCAATTTATAGAAAATTCAGTTCAGAGAATTTCTCTGGTTTGAAATTTCTCTGATATGTTCAAAATTTCTCTACTTTGCTCAATTTTTTATGATTTACTTACAATTTTCTCTGTGTTTTGATCAATCCAGAGAAAATTTTGTTTTCCACTAATTCCATCCATCAAACCAGTTCTTAAACAAGTACAGTATCAACTTACTTTGCTCAAACTATCAAATGTGATCTCACAACAGATTTTATAGCATAAAGGACACCAAATATTTTCATAATGCCTAAGGTCCCTCAACATCGATCTAGAGAAAATTCAATTCAGAAAATTTCTCTGAACTTTACATAAAAAAATCAATGTAGAGAAAATTCGATCTAGAGAATTTCTCTGGACTTTCCAGAGAAAATTCAATCTAAAAAAAAAATCGATTTAAAGAATTTCTCTTGTTTGAAATTTCTCTAATATGTTCAAATTTTCTCTAAGTTGCTCAATTTTCTCTGTGTTTTGATCAACCCAGAAAAAATTGTGTTTTCCACTAATGTCATCCATCAAACCAGTTCTTAAACAAGTACAGTATCAACTTACTTTGCTCAAACTATCAAATATGATCTCACAACAGATTTCACAAATTTAGGAAGAATTGAACATCAATGAGTACATGTGTAGTTTATATTGCTGTAGTTCATTAAAAGCACCATTTCACCATGGGAATTGACAATCTCTTTTCTGATTTTACCCGGAGAAAATTCAATTCACAGAATTTCTCTAGACTTTCCAGAAAATTTCTCTCCAAAGAAATTCTGGGAAGGCTAGAGAATTTCTCTGGTTTGAAATTTCTTTGATATGTTCACAAATTTATCTGATTTGCTTACAATTTTCTCCGTATTTTGATCAAACCAGAGAAAATTGTGTTTTCAACTAATTCCATTCATCAAACCAGTTCTCAAACAAGTACAGTATCAACTTGCTTTGGTCAAACTATCAAATATGATCTCACAACGAATTTCACAAATTTGGGAAGAATTGAACATCAAGGAGTACCTGTGTAGTTTATATTGCTATAATTTATTAAAACCATGGAAATTCACAATCTCTTTTTTGATTTTACCCATTTCCTCTTTGTAATCCATATCTGATGGTTGACTTCTATTTGGTTCCCAAATCTCAGTTACTCTCTCAACTCTCTATTATAACTCCTACAATCAATACGTGAACTCACTCATCACCCTCCCACCACCACTCTCCTGCTTCCTTGTTGGCGATGGAGGTAGAGTTCACGTCATCGACGGTGCTGTCATCGACGAACTGGTACGTTTTGGTGAAAAATGGCGTTAGAAGAGATCTGGATGCATTGCCGGCAATTGATTCTCCATCATTTTGCTCTCCCGGAGGCGGAGCCATCGCGATCCACCTAATCAAAACGAAAATAAGCCAAGGTTCAAACAAAATTCACAACTTCAAAAACAAAAACAAAAAATTGAATGAATTGAAAGAAAAGTCATACCAAATCGACAAGTGTGTAGATGAAGGAATCGAAGCAGATCTAATGGATGTTGAAGATTAGAGAGAGAAGTGCGGTGCGAAAGGTGTGAGCATTTTTCTGGTAATTCTAGAAGCTTCATGTAGCAAAAAAAATGAAGAGAGAGAGAGAGAGAGAAAGAGACAGAGAGAGATGGAAAGAGAAGGGAAAGGAAAGAACGAGTCTGTTATTGTGGAAAGGAAAGGACCTAAGACATTACAAAATAATATTGTGGACCACTCTCATTATTAAAAATAGGAAAAGGATTTTAGACGAATTTTCTCAAAAATTTTTGTTTGGGAATTTTTTTTATAATTTTGTAAGAGAAAAAGTAAAATGATTACGGTTTAAATATGATATTTTCTCTTATGCTGTGTTTGGTTAGGGGATTTGGAGAGAGATTTGGAAAAAGAAAGGGAAAAGGTGTGTGAAACTAGGTGAAATATAGGTATGTTTTATTCATATTTCACCTACCTTTTCTATTTCTCTTTCTAAATTCCTCCTTAAATCTCCCAACCAAACACAACATTATTAACTTTTTAACTTTTATCTTCTAGTGGGTTAAAGTCTCAACCTACTTTTTAAATGAGACTAAAATTGCATCTTTAATATGTAATTTTATTATGAAATTACATTTTAAATATGATTTCATAATAAAATCATATTTTTTAATTTATGTTTTTTTTTTAAAATAGATTAATTTAGTAAATAGTTTGACAAGCGAATTAGTACTTAGATAAATAATTTGAATTTTTAGAATATTAAAAAAAAACCTCCAAATATGTGTGGTCATTAATATAAATTTATAAATTTTTATTGAGAAAATGAAAAATGTGCAGCAGAGGCGGAAGTAACAAGCAACAAGTGCCTACTTAACTTTTGATTTTCACACTTTTTGTTTCTTTCTAATTTTTATTTGTATTGTATTTAGGAAAATGTCTCGTAGCTCAAATTTTGTGGCTCAAAAGTGGCTCAAATGGCCAAAACGACGTCGTTTTGGCCATTTTTATGTTGTTCTGTACTCAAAATGACGTCGTTTTGACCATTTGAGCCACTTTTGAGCCACAAAATTTGAGCTACGTAGCATTGTCGTTGTATTTATTTACCACATTGTACATAGAGCCACAACAACTAAAGTTTATGAGGTCCGTTTGTTTGGGCACCATCACAGTCCGAAATGAATTGTGACGGAAGAACAGTGCATATAACTGATATTTGTTTTGTTTGTAGCTTTTGAATTGGCAATCCGTTCGGATTAGGATGGATCTTAGACAAGCGGATTGATAGTCCGAATGAAGAGGTGGTATTACAAAAATAGTCTATCGGCTTAATGAGTTGCCGGACATTCGCCGAGACGTCCGGCCGGTCAACCCGCCGATCAACCGGTCAACTAATTTTTTTTTATTTTTTTTTTTACTTGTTGGGCATTTTTTTTGTAAACATTAATGTTTAATGTTTTTATGTTTTTTGTTAAGTAAAAATCATTATTTTATTATTTTATATAAAAAATAATTTAACAATCCCCTCACTAACAAAATAAACACAATTTTACTAATCCCCTCACTAACAAAATAAACACAATTTTACTAATCCCCTCACTATCAATCTCCTTCTTTCTGCCTCTGAAAATAAACGAGACCTGAATTAGCCATTTTAGTTTTTTTTAACGATAATTAGTTATTTTAGTTGATTTTTAAAATTTTAAATGTTTTATAATTAAAAAACAACATGTAAAAAAGAAATAATGTGATAAACTTGTAATAATTTTTAATTTTTAAGTTAAAATAATGTATCTCCAAATAGTCCTAAACATCCATTTTCAATATTTCTTTTAGCAATATTTTGTGGCTTTCTATGTGTTATGATGGATTTTATTATTTGTTTTATAAAAAGAATTAATGTTGTGTGAATACATATAAATAGTGAAATAAAATGATAAAAAAATTATTTTCTTTTATCAAAAATGACAGGGAGATTTATGACTTAATAATTGGCCGAGCTACTTTGGGCCCGAGTCCAGGGTCTTTACTTGGTCAGGCATTGGGTGCGCGCCAGATGGAAGATTTAATCTGGTCAAGTTGGGACAACTTTGAACCACTAGCCCGGTGGGGTTGTGCGATCTGCTAAGTTGGACGAGATTTGTCCTCAGAAGACTGAACTCGATCGAGCGGAAGCTCGATCGCAATTGTGGAGCTTAGTTGAGCCTACGATCAGGAATTACCGACAAGACCGGACAATCAGCACGGTCCTAGAATGAAGGCGTGACACCG